AAGAAACGGGGCAAGCCCGCGCCCCGCCCCGTCTAAGTTAAGGCGGGGCGGGTGGAGCGGGGCACCCCGCCTCATTGTCATCTATACATGTACATTTCATTTGACATCAAGTTTGACATGAGTGGCATGAGTGGACAGTTTGAAAATAAAATACATTTTCCCGCTCATTTGCATTTTATATGTATATTTCGCTCACATTTCAAAAGTTCCATAGGTGTCATAATAATCTATGTTGTCACATTTCATATTTTAATCCCTAACAAATAGGGACTCAATAGGAATCCCAGGTTTGAATCTCTGCCATTTCATTTTGAATATAAAATTTTACTTTGAACTTTGCAACCAACCGGTTCAGTTTCCTCTCCAATCCGTACGGTTTGGACAGTTAATGAGTGGTGGTCTAATTGATTCCCTTGTTTAATGAACCAACTAATGCACTCGAACGTAACAACCATCCGATTCTCCGTTTTTCAGGATGAACCGTCCGATTTGATTTCAATAACTATGGTTGAAAATAAATTTTTTTTTTAAAAGAATTTTTCAGAAACGAGGTCAATCGGGCCGCAACCTCTATATCAAAATTGATGGTTAACAACCCATAACAGATGGAAAATGGAGACGGTACAATTTCCCTCATTCTCCCTAAAAATAGGTAGGTTATTAACTAATAACCGCCCATGCTATCTACGTTGTCATTAAACTTCAAACATTTTAAGGAATAAAGTCGGAGAGATGCTATAAGTGCAGGAATTTCACAGACTACACACAGCAGGGGTGGGTGGGGGGGAGTTTTGCCAATTTTTTATTCACATGGGAGAAATTTAAAATCTTGTGAAAAATTTTGTTAAATATTTTTTGTACTAACAGTTTTATTCATAAAGTCGAGTAGGTGCCAACTTACCCTGAAGTAAAGCCAGACCTGATGAGAGACCCAAGAGGCCGTCACCTCAGGCCAACTCTTCAAGGGGCCCTAAAAAGAAAACTCCCATTCTCAATTTTCCAACAGCCGCTAAAGAAATGAAAACCTAGACTTCTTGAGGTTTCAGCATAAATGACTTAATGGTTTGTTTTCTTGGGTGTTTAACGATTGCGCCACCTCTCAAACACGTCTGGAAATCTCCCTAAAACTCTCAAGAACTTCATCTCTGATCTCTAGCATTTTTCTTCACTGCGCTCACCTAATGGTTTGTTTCCTATCTTTTTACATTACAGATGATATTCAGTTCTCTGTGTGATTTTTTTTTTTTAATTCTAAGTTATGCTTATTTCTTCATTTTCTAGAAGTTTAGCAATTAGATAATCCTTCTCCTGATTAATGTTCTACGGGAAATTTGAGGGGAAGTATAAAACAAAGAATGTGATTTAAAGTCTTTGCATAGAGCTTAATCTACCATAATCCATTAGCCAAAAATGGGCTTAATAAATTTTAATCCTAATTTCGAAAACGTAATGGAGTTAGTTGTAGAATGGTTCGGAAATGATAACAAAAAAGAAAAACCTAGTAGACATTAAAAACAAGAAAATGCTTAAATTCCCTTCAATCTGTAGACAAAACAAAGGAACAAAAGCCAAAATATAATTACTCAAGGCAATGCACTAAAATTTTGCAATTTAAGGTTTATAACTTGCTCATTTTCGAATTTAATTTCTCAACTTTTTATTAATTAACTGACATTCAGAATTTGGTAGAAGGAAGAAAAAATATTAAATTACCTGTTGAAAATCTAAATACACAAGATTAACAATAAATACAAAAGTTAAACAAAAATAATTCCAACTTATAAGAATATATGAACAGAAAATCATCATAAATTACAAGATATAATAATTAATCTTTTGGGTTTTTTTTTTTTTTGCCGATTTCATAATGTTGCTAAATTTTAAAATTTGATTAATTATGGTTAATGACCTTGTTCCAGACTTGAAAATTAGTTCAAGGTTTAACTTTGAAATTTGTACGTATACAGTGTCCTATATTTTATATTAAAGATTTTATTCTTTGTATGGCTTGAATTAGTATAGTTATTGTTGAAATATCGATGAAATTTTTAGCCATGTCTTTTAATCTTTATTTCTTAAACTAATTTGAGTCCCATTTCACATTCAGATTTCAGTTAGTATTAGTTGTTGAGTAATTTGATTTAAATACTATGGCTCCTAAATATGCACCTGAAGCTCAAAAAAAGGAGAAAAAGTGAAGGCATTAATTCGAAGTCAGATTAAAAATATGGATAAGTACCTTTAACGACAAGAAAAGGAGAAGGAAGGAACACCGAAAAATTTAGTAATTGAAGAACAACATATTCAGAACGACAATGTTAATATGGATTAACCGAAAAAGAACGAGAAAATGATTGAATCTACCAATATGAATCAATCATAGCAGAATGATAAAGATAATATTCAACATGAAGATTTAAATTAAGAGAATTGATTTTCTTTGAATTTTGATGATTGTGGAAATAAAGGCATTCACATTAATCAAAAGATGGGGGACTTTTTAGTTGAAATGAATCTAACGACATACATATTTAAATTAAAAGAATTGCTTTTCATTTTATTGTTGATTTTAAGTAAGCAAATTTAATTTCATAAAACCCTTATAAATGAAAAAAATAAAAATAAAAATTGATTATTTGCAGCGATTTATGAGCCCAAATTTTGAAATTCGCCTCAGGTCCCGCGAAACACGTCCGGCTCGGCCCTGAAGGTCGAACTGAAATCCAAAAGAAAAAATATACATGCACAGACATCGAACAAATATGCCGAAGAGCGTATGTGCAAGTTTCTAAAATAGTGGCACACATCATTGCTCCCAAGTAAAATAAAATAATTTCCAAAAGCCATTTGAACCATGTAGCATTTCATTACTTTTACAAAGTTCAACTTTCCACACAGCAAAAGACAAAGTCCCCAGTCCCCACCAACCCACCAAAAAAGGAAGCATCATATGAACATAAGAAATAATAAGCCCCCATCCTTAAGTGCCTCCATCCATTTTGCTCTCGTCAGGGCGTCAAAAGTTCATGAAAAGGAAAGCTAGGAGCCAAAAAGATGACAAAAGCAAAATTGTGCATCCAACTTTGATTGCATTGCCACATAATGCGAAAGGAGATACAAAAGGTAACAATCCAGTATAATACGCAACATGAAAGAGATTAAAGACCATAGGGAGTCCTTATGAGGGACCAGAGGGTTCAGATTTGATGGTTGTAGGGTTATCTGATTGGGTTGTAGGATAGACGAGCGCTGCAAGTGATATAGGCATGATGCAGAGTGATTTGGATTGGAGGAATTGCATAGCAGCTCCCACATCTTCTTCCATGAGTTTAACAACCTCCCTTTCTGTTTCCACGTTTGACCACTTTTCCCAAACCTGATGATTCAAACCTCTTTCCACTGTCTCGTCCTAATATTTGAAAATAAAATCAAGTTTGTGGAATGAAGATAGTGAACTTATATGCATACACATGCATGTTTAAAATTACTATTCGGCAAGGTTGCGTTAAAATTAGTAAAAGATACATCTTTACAATACCTCAATAGATTGCAGGGGGATGTCTGCAACAAGTTGAGCCACTGCACCAGCTCCTCCTAGCCTACTCATGCTCAAAACCTGTTCAACCTTTTAATGTCATTGAGAGAGTGAAAGAAGAAAAATATTTGGCTTTTAAGCTTGTAGCCTATGATGCACCGACACGGACACGGACACGTGTGTCCGATACAATACGTGTCGAATATGCCGACACGCGATTTTTAAAAAAAGTACAAACATGACACGTCATCAACACGTTGATTAAATTCTTAAAAATTCTTCATTCATGTAGTATAAATTTAGTTTTATATTTGTTATTAATTTTTCTTGTTGATCTTTTAAACATGAGTACCTATTTGTTACTTGCTATAACTTTGAATTAACAATATATAATATTTTTAATATAAAAAGAAAAATGATTACGATAGAGTGTCCAAGAAGTGTCTGTATCGACTCGTGTCCGACACACGCTACCTTAATTAAAGTGTCCGTGCTACAGTGCTTGTAGCATTCACAGATATTTTCATAATTGGACTTTTAAGTGCCCAAATGATGATCCCAAGACATGAATACATTCGTAGATTATGTGGACTTCGTAGACTAGCACTGCATTAAATTCCCTATACGAACCTTTTGGAACCTTTAACAATTTGAACAAAGACAACGAAAGATAAACTATGAGGGCACGAAAGTATTCACTTATCATCAAGGTGATATGTTTGCAAGTTATTTTATGTCATAAAGAGTTCGAAAAAAGAACCTTTAGTATAAAGAGTTCTAGCCTAGAAGAGAACGTCATAAGAACAGAAGATGTAGCCTCTCAAGGATATTATGCCGAGAATTTTGATTATAATAGTTTAACATTGATTTTACCTTGACTTGAAGCCTCAAGAATTTCACATAGTCCAGAATCTCGTCAAGCATTGCAGCCCTATCTGTCTGCCAAAAAAAAAAAAAAAAAGACAGAAGATCAATAATTAACAATAAAGGCAGTACAAAACTACGCAACTTAATTTAATTCAAGCCAATCGCCTCTTCAAGTGATTATAAACGATTAGCTACTTCAAAGGTTGAAGATAATTTAGAATCATGATTGTCATCAAACAGTTTATAAAAAAACAGACCCACTCCAGTTCTGGAAAGCATAGGAATAAACTCTGATATAACATTATGTTCCAACTGATAATTCCTGTCAAAAGATTAGACTAAAGCAAAATATCCAATACATATGGGCCATTGTATTTCATGATAGAAGTGAAAATATACCAGGTATATGACAGCATAATAAAATATAATTTTTTTTTGTGACCTTTCACATGCCATTTTATGATATTGTAGGGAAGCAAATAATAGATACACGGGAAGGAGGAACTTCAGAGAATCAAAAAGTTTTCAACAGAGCAAGGGTACACACTTTATTGCAGCTGGGAACAAGTTCTTGCAATGCCTTGATTCTTTCTGATATCCTTTCTCTGCGCAACTGTATTAAGATGCACTTAGTTAAGATGTAAATATGGCGAGAAGTTGAGACTTTCACATAGCTTGTTCGTGTAAATCATATACCCTCTCAGCAATACTATGGGGATCCGTCGCTTGTCCCCTTCGTGCCCGAACCCTTGGCCTAATGGCAGGAGGGTGTGGCACAGTTACTGCAGTGCTTGGTGTTGGCTGACCTTGAAAAGCCTGTAAAATAAATCCAGTACAGTTTAGATGCAAAATACTGTGAAATCCTAAATCATGGACTTATAATAGCACTCTCTGTAGCACAGACACTTCAACTAGGGTAGCGTGTCCGTATCGGACATGTGTCGTAATCGTGTCGAATACCGACACTCATCGGACACTCTACCATAGTTATTTTTCATTTTTTTATTAGAAATATTATATTTAACTCAAGGTTATTATTAACTAACAAATGGGTACTCATATTTAAAAGATTTCAACAAGAAAAATTAATAATTAGTATGAAATTAAATTTATACTATATAAATAAAAAAATTTAAATAATTTAATCAACATGTCGACTATGTGTCCTGTCAATAATTTTTTGAAAAATCACGTGTCAACATATCCGTATCGGTGCATCATAGCTAGCAATTACCATGGCATAATCAATCTCACAACTAATTCTCCTGCTCGAAAAGCAACTAGAAAACAACAACAAGAGATGCATTTTCAAAATCAAGAGTTACCCACAACCACGTGGATGCTACTAAGAACTGAACAAAATACTTTCCCAACAACTCACATGATTTTCTTTTCCTTTATGAGGACACTCAAAGTGCAAGTAGGAATCTAAACTTTTTTTGTCTATCTAAAAATCATTTCTATCCCAGCAGTCTCAAGATTGATTGTTTGTGGTTGTCAATGACATATAACCCCAGAACTATTCTGTGAGTATAATGTTAAAGCATGCACATTCATTCGGCCAACAGCAACTATGTTATACCAATGAAAACTGTTATTCGAAGAGCATTCTACAATGTCCATAATTTTGTGATTCTCAGGTCTCTGATATCCATATAAAACAGATGCACATAAGTCAATTTCTTCTCCAATCTATCGATTCCATTACTTCTCACTCAAGAGAAAGGACATTTATAAGACCAGAAAGTAAATTGCCCGCACTCGCACTCCTGAGTTAGAATAGGATGGCCAATACCAAATGACATGTGGCGGAGTTGATTTGCTAACATTTGTGTTTCTCAGAAACCAAGACTCTAATAAGTTTCTAACACATGCAAGTACACATAAGCACACGAACAGACTCTGTCTAGTTGAACAAAAAGATAGAATGCTACAAGTTTGGTAGTGATATAGCAACTCAAAAGGCCAAAATGATTCACCAACAGTATCTATATCGCATCAGATCTTTTTAAGTCAATAGTTTCTGTCTTGCTGAATGAATTACTCAGCAATTCATTGTGTCAATATATAATCTGTCTCCACACCATATCCTCGTCAAAGCAAACTTGAGTACTAGAAATAACCAATTGAGCACAGCAACTCTCATTTAAAAATTTAGTTTAAACTAGTCTAATTGAACTCCACTTAGCATATAACAATGAGTATAACACCAAGTACACTAATCAAATTACTAAACCAACTTAAACTTGTTCACACTTCATATCGACCCCAAACCCCACTCACCCGACGGCCCACAAATAAAAAATGCAGGCATATGCCACAACTAGATGCAACTACCAAAGGGTGCACAAAATGCACTTACAGATGCATAATTTATACATGAGTGAATATAAATAAATGAAAAAATGAGTATAAATTTGTAATGTGCAACCTGCTGAACCTGAGGAACTGGGTGGCGGATTGCATGAGCCTGTAAATGATCGAAAGTCGAATACAAACTCCCCATGTTGTTATTCAATGCTTCCCTCTCCTGCAAATATAGATAACAGATAAATCAAAATGACTCTTTTACAACAATCACAAGGCAAAATTATGAATCCACAAATTTTCACACTCCAAAATATGGTTTTCTAAATAATTCTCTTCTACATATAAAAAACAGAAACAATTAAATTACTAGATTATATTCCAATTTTTCACTTGATTCACCCTCATAACAAGACAAATTTCCAAGTTTTGCCTATTACAAAGAGCTAGGTTGCAGAAATTGAAACTCTTCGGAAACTCATAGAGACATTTAGAAAATTCAAAAATATTATATAATTTTCTTTTACTTTATAATTTCAGACTATAATCCTTATATTTCACAAAATTAACAAGCAATTAAAGTTTGAATTAACGTTATAGAATTTTAGAAACAATAAATTAAAATTTTCCTACAGCTTATTGTCGACTAATCTTTTCAGAATAGCATTTCCAATGTCAGTTCAAAGAGCAAAAAGGTAAATTAAGAGCTTACGGGCCTCACAACCAAGGCTCCGGCGCCACTAACATCATCCTGTCCGTTATCCAGGCTAAGGCCCAAGGGAAACATCGGTGGATGGGGGAGGCCAGCACCGTCTGATGAGTTTCCAGCGTCAGCTCCAGCCAGGCCAGCATAAGAAGGGAGGTAGAGGATTTGCTCAAGGAAGTCGTCGGCTGTATAACCCTCCGGCGGGTTCGTTGCCATGCCGGCGATTTAACGACGGCGACAAAATTTCCCGGCGAGAATAAGAGAGAGAAAGGTAGGGTAGAGAGAGAACGGTGAGAGCTTTTGGAAAACTGGCAATGATAAAATGTATCTGCTTTTGTGGTGTGTGCTTTTTTATTTTTGACGAAAAGTGGTGTGATTTTTCGAGTCAGTGGTCCGGATTAGGCGTGGGCGCGGGTCGATTCGGTTCGATTATTTTCGGTTCCAGAAATTTTCGAGTATTTAATAAATGGAATCGTCGGTTCCAAATATAATTTTGGAACCGTTCGGTTTCGGTTCGGTTCGGTTCGGTTCGGTTCCGTTCGGTTCCGTACTATAATTAAATTTTTTAACATTTAAAATAATATTACATAAATACACCTAAAAGTGGATACCAATATTAATAACAAAAAGTAGATACAAATACCAAGTTCAATCTTAACTTTTAC